AGAACTATATAACACTTTATATGCATGATATAGTATATACCATAAGTATGTATAGTATAGCGATATATTTCTATATATGTATATACACATGTATAGCTATACATATACATAATCTATGTGCCTACCTACATATTCATAAAATATACGATATAGTATATAGACAGACCATGTCAGTGATGTGCTCTCTGTGTATAAATAGTATTACAGTATGGCAATATAGTATTTTTATATATAGAATAGAGACCCTCATATAACTATATAATTATCTCTCCATTGACATATTTGTATGTATTATATGAATGTGTATATACACATAGAGGCACGTCTATAACTGTGTAACACACTACATACTATACATATATAAATGCAGTTATAAAATATGTACATAATATAAATACATTGATAAAGAACCAGGGAGCATTAGATGGGAAGGTGTATGCAAATGTATCAAATATATACACACACAATGTACTATATAATTATATTCATAGCTAGCGAGTGTGTTACAGCGCTGCAGACATACATGCATTCTATACTGCATATAGCCTCAAGCAAGAAAGAATGAGCCGCAGGGTGGGCCTGGGGCAGGGGAGATGTGCCTGCACACAGGCGTGAGCACACACACGCCTAACACCGGCAGGGAGCCAGCGTGAAAGTGTGGGGTAGGTACAGGAAGGGCTCTAGCTATACATGTGTGTACATACGGGGGGGGGGGGAGAGAGAGCCCCTGCTGTAACTACTGAACACTGTATCTCTCACAGCCATACACAATACAGTATGCATATGAATACACATGCCCACTAAAGACAGAGCCATGTAACTAGCTAACATACACTCTCTCCCTGGCTATATATAGTACCGATTACACAGTTTATACATTTTACACGTATGTGTGTGTGCGCACACCCACATGCACCCATGCGCATGCACACCCTCCCCATATAACTCTCTCGAGCCATAGCCTCTTATACAATGCTTCCTTCTTAGCCATCTATATATTATATAGTATATATTTTATATATATATACAGAGACACTTCTATAAATGGTGCATACTATATATTACACAGTGTATACTCATATATGGTATCTTCTATAAATTATATGCTGTATATCTTTTACACGTGTGCATGCATGGGCACACAAACACACACGCACACAGAACCTTTCATATAATTCCAACTATATATAAAAAAAAATGTCGTGGTTTGAGCTCAGAGGGCCCCTATATATGGGAGGGACCAGGAGAAAGAGACACCCTTCTATAACTGTGTAACCCTCTCCCTTTTATACGTAGTTAAATTGATAGGTTTAGATATGTACATAGAAATATTTTAGTATACGTGTATATATATACATACACACACAGACACAGACCACTCCTTATACAGATACTTAACTCTATATTCTATGTATATATACACTGGCCCTTATACAACTATCATCTCCATCCATATGTTTTTAATATATTTATATATGTAGATAGAGCTATGTGTGTGTACATAAGTGTTATGTATTTTTTTATACACAGGAAAGAGCCTGTGAGCAACTCAGCTATAGAGCACTTTATCTCTCACTATCCGTGCATGTTATATATGTATATACAAAGACATATGAAAGAGATAGACCCTTATATAAAGAGACTCTTACCTAATTGTGTAACATACACTCTAGCTACATTGTCGTCCTGACAATACCACCCAAGGGTGTTAAGAGATCTGGCTGACATTGCGAGGCCGCCCTCCTTAATCTTTGAGAAATCATGGAGATCGGGGGATGTCCCAGAAGACTGGAAGAAGGCTAATGTCACCCCCAGCTACAAAAAAGGCTTAAAGGAGGGTCCAGGAAATCACATGCCCATCAGCCTTACTTCAGCCCCTGGGAAAGTTCTGGAAAGAATCCTGGGAGCTGCCCCAAGTTAAGTGAAACACGTGATTGGGAAAAGCCAGCACAGATTCACCAAGGGCAAATCATGCTTGGCAAACCTGATCGCCTTTACAACAACATAAGCTACTCAGCTGATGTAGGGTGAGTGTTGGACACTGTCTACTTGGATTTCTCCAAGATTTTTGATATGGTTCCCCACAGCCTCCTCCCAGAGAAACCGGTGTGTTACAGCCTAGACAAGAGTCTGTGCAGGGAATGGGGAACTGCCTGGCCGGCCACACTCAGGGGTGGTGGTGAACAGCTCCTCTTCAAACTGGCAACCTGCCACAAGTGGGGTCCCCCAGGGATCGACACTGGGCCCAACGCTGTTTAATGTCTTCACAAGTGATCTGGATGATGGGCTCAAGTGTAGCCTGATGAAGTGGCCTGATGATACCAAATGGAGTGGGGAAGTGGACACTTTGGAAGGGAGAGTCACCCTGCAGGAAGACCTGAATGGGCTAGAAGAGTGGGCTAACAAGAACCATATGAAATTCAACAAGTTCTTGTACCTGGGAAAGCATAACCCAGGAGTGTAGCACAGGCTGGGATCTACCTGACTGGGGAGCAGTTCTGCTGACAGGAACCTGGGGGTCACTAAGATCAAAATGAGTGATCAATGTGCTGCTGTGGTGAAGAAAGCCAATGGGGTGCTGGGCTGCATCAACAAGGGCATCACCAGAAGAAATAAAGAAGTCATTATCCCAATCTACTCAGCGCTTGTCAGGCCATACCTGGAATACCATGTTCAGCTTTGGTCCCTGATATACAGAAAAGCTGTAGCCAGGCTAGAGAAGGTCCAGAGAAGGACCACAAAGATGATCAGGGGACTGGGAAGCCTGACATGTGAGGAAAGGCTGAGAGAACTGGCTTTGTTCATCTTTGAGAAGGTTTAGGGGAGACCTTATCACCATGTTCCAGTATTTAAAGGGTGGCTACAAAGCAGATAGAGACTCCCTTTTTAAAACAGTCCCATGGAAAAGAAGTGAAGGGTACAAGTTACTCGGGGGGAGATTCTGCTTGGCCAAAAGAGGAAAATTTTTCACAATGAGAACAATCAGCAACTGGAATAATCTCCCCAGGGAAGTGGTGGATTCCCCAACACGGGGCACTTGGAAGATTTGGCTGGACAGAGTGCTGGGCCATCTTGTCTAGACTGAGCTTTTGCCAGAAAGGCTGGAGCAGGTGATCTTTGAGGTCCCTTCCAACCTGGTGTTCTATGATGCTATGTGTGATAGAATATATACATACATGTGTATGTGTGCACACAGAGAGACCCTTAAATAATGTTCCCTCCCGCTAGCCATCTATATTTTATACTACCTATTTTTATCTATTTTACATAAACAGAGATCTTTCTATAAATATAATACACGCTAGTTATACTATATATATGTCAGCATGTTGTCGCACAAGAGTCAGAGATCACTCAGCTCTGCGTATGTGCTTTACAGACACACGTATGTAGAATACATGGCGGGGGGGAGAGAGAAGAGCGTCACACCGTTACAGAGAAGGCTCCCCTCTCCCCCGACCCCCGCCATGACGCCACAGCCCTCTCCCGCCACGGACGCGCCACTCACCCCCTCACCGCCGCCCCGCGCGTCGCCGAACCCTTCCCGCCGCGCCGCCGCGCCAGCCCACACGGGGAAAATGGCGGCCGCCCCCCCTTCCCGCCGCTGCCGGCGGCAGTGCCGCGAGCGGGGCGCGGGCGCCCCCCAGCGGCGCCGCGCGCTCACGGCGGCGGGTTGGCGCGGGAAAACCGCGGGGGCGCGACGCGACGCGACGCGACGCGACGGACACGCGTGTGGTTGTCGCGCCGAGGGGACGGACAGGACAGGCAGCAGGTCACAGGCAGCGCCACGCCGGATTCGGCTCCGGAGCCGCGGGGTCCGGCGCTCGAGGCTCCGGTTTGGCGCCCTTCCCCGCGAGGCGGCTCCCCAACACGCGTGGGCGCCCGCTCCTGCTGCCTGCCCAGGCTGCGCGCCCGTGGGAGCAGCTCGCACCAGTTGAAGACCCAACTGAGCCGCGGGATGCTTTTCCCAGCACAGCGGCTCCCACACCCAAGCCCTTGCCAGCATGGTGGTCCTGGGATGGGCAGGAGAAACGCGAAGGAAGCACACCAGGCTTAACGCTGACTCCTTTGGAGTAAAAAAAGATGTTCAACCGCCATAACCCATTGCCGACAGGAGCAGTACTGACCTAGGAGTACGAGCGGAGTCAGTTGTTTTCCCCCGAACTTGCAGGAGACGATAACACTCACAAATGCTGGCTGGAAGCTACAGTTCTGGTTGCTCACCATAAACATCTGGGACCATCCTCTGCACCCCAGGAGGTGATGGTGCGGCCGTCAGGCTATCTGTCTACCCTGCAGCCATCCTAGAATGAGAATTCAAAACAGTGAGGGTTTATTTGAGGCAAACGGCAAAAACATGGGCGGAGTGGAGCTCTTCTAGCCCCGAAAGCACTGCTGTCTGCTGTGCTCAGCAAAGTCAGTCCATTATTCCCTGCAGAGGTGGCTGGTCTGGTGTGCCTGAGGAGACAAATGAGCATCAGCCTAAGCCTAACTGGGGGGGGGCGGGGGGGAGAGCGGGGATTCACAGAGCTCATCCTGGTGGAAGGAGGAGGGAAAGGGAATGGGAACATAGCAGAGGTCAAAAACTGGGCTAAACTTCACTAAAATCAGGAGCATTTTGAGTAAACATAAATAGCACTCTGCCTGGGGCCGAGTGGGTCCAAATGACACTGTAAAATCTAACAAGACTGTTGAGACGCTGATGTTGTGCAGACAGGGACAGGACGAGTCCCCAGACCTGGGGCTTGGTCTTCCTCAGCGTGAGGGAGAGCAAGGAAGGCTACAGTATGATGGAGACCATGATAAGCTGGGAACTCATCGGGGGAAAGTAGGGAGCAGCTGTGAAGTAAAAGGCAGGGGGGAGAACTTTTCAGTGAGCAGCTGTGATAGATACATTATTCTTCTGGAGCAAGCTGAAAAATGTCATTTGGGGTCATCCCAGAATGACTTCTCGTATCTGAAACAAACTGTTTCATTTCAGAAATTACTGAACACATTTATTTCTTTGTTAGCCTTTTATTTCGGTCATTTCATATTGAAAAGTAAAGAAAGGTTGAAGTGAAACATTTTCCAACTATTTCCCTCTGTTTTAATTTTCTGGGGCCAAAACTCTCTGCTGAAGGTGGCCCACGTACGTACATAAATGCAGTCCCCCACAAGAAAACAATTTTCCCACAAGTTATCATTAATTGTTAAAAAAAGCTGCCCAGCTCTGGTAACATTTGATCTTAAATTCCTGGGTCTGTTTGAAAAGGCAATCCTCTTATCTCAAAGATACCACATTTAGCTCCCCTGTGTGCCAAAACCCCACAGCGCTGGCTTTGCTTTCAGTGCATGGCAAGATGTACAAGAGAAAGAGCCCGCAGAGCAGCGGGCACCGTCCCCTGCCCAGCCTGGGCTCCCTTGCAGGGAGCAGGCAGCAGTGTAAGCCCCTTTCAACCTGCTCTTGCCTTGGCTTCGCCAAGGATCGCTCCCATCTCCCACGTGCCTGAGTGGAAGGAGAAGCCAGAAGCCTCTGTACATCAGCACAGCCAGTCCTGTACCCAGGCTGGATCAGCTCCTGCTGATGGGAAAATCCTGCCTGCTCCAACTCCTTCCAAAAACTAATAAATGCAGAGGTGCAGACATTATGCTTGGTCTTTGCATGCCTGAGCCTCCCCCAGCTACCAGCACTGGACTGCGATACCCTCAGGGCAACGCTGAGAGAGCAACAGAGCTCCATTTCCAGCCTGGCCAGCACCAGTGTTCAAAGGGCCTCATACCACAGGGACAAACTGTGGGAATGTCTTGAGCTGACATAATTATCAAGGCCTAAAAATCATCATCTTTACCCGCTCCACCCTGATTTCCCTCCTTATCAGGCTGTACATGACAAAGAATTGCTGGTCAAGCTCCGCCTGCCCCGCTGACGCTGGGGATGACCCTTACACAGATGCTGACATGGGGTGGCAGTGCTGGAAGCTGGAGACCAGGGCTGTGGAGCTCAAAGGAAACAGCCAAGGGACTCCCCTCTCCAGCTTGGAGGTGAGATGGCTTTGTGCCCTTGCTGAGCTCAGGCAAGCTCTCAAATCAGGCAAGTACTGGGGCAGGGAGGCACAAGCCTCCAGTCTGCTGCCGGCTGCCTCGGTTCACAGAAGGGAAGGCAGACTGGCTGTGCTGGGTGCCATCTCCGAGAGGAACCTTTTTCAGGCTAAACGCTGACCCAAATCAAGCAGCTGGCCAAGCCAACCCCTCCTTACTGCACCCACCTCATAAGGAACAGCCCCTGGAGAAAAGCCTATCTGAAAAGGGGGTTATTGCTGCCCTACGCGTTGCAGTGTGGGGCTTTAACCAACGCTGGAACTCCAGCAAGGTGCTCTCCACCCGTATGGTGAAGGTGTGCCAATGTGTTTTAGCCCTGAGAAGCAGCTACCACAGCATAAAATAGTGTGTGAGGAAAAGCAAAGCAAACAGGTCTTGGTGCAGGACTAGGACAGCCCAGACTGACTTGCAGTTCCCTGTTTGGTTTGCCTGAGCTCTGGTCCATATGAGAAAGTTCATGCGTTTTTAAAAGAATTGCAGTTTACAAACATATCTAAGAGTAAGCAACTCTGAACTTACAAGTTTACAGAAAATAATTATGCTTGCCTGTGGAGCTGTCAACTGCATGTAGTTCGCATCTGACAAATGTTCTGCATGCAAAATGGCTTGAGCCCAAGCTATTTAAAAGGAGAGCTGGATTTAGGTGTTTGGTACGTGCAACTAAGCTGATGGCAGTATAATGTCATTCACAGCCTTGTGTTCCCTCTCCAACATGTCAGAAAAAGCATTTTCCTACCACAGCAACGATCCTTTTGGAGCCCTGAGGAGACTCCAAAACCTTTTGTGAAAACATTAAGGCTACTGAGGGCCATTTTATGAACTACAAAAATTGCACAAAATGGCTGAAGTGGTTAAGAGGCACATAGAAATCCAAATTTCCCGTCTGTACAAAAGGCAGAATAGTCATCCTTTAGCTTCACTTTCAAGACCAGAATTTGCAACCGTATAAAATCTATTTCTTAGAGGTCTAACACAATGAGCCTCTCTTAGGCTGCCAGAATCACTGCACAGCTTGACAACACAGAAATGTCTGCTAGGAGGAAACCCTGCCATCAGGCTGTACACAACAGTTAAAAGAAAGTTTGTACTGGAACCCTGCTTTGAAGGAAATGTAGAACGATACCTGTCCTCCATTATACCCAAGTTAATATCATTGAAGACATCAGCTTTGTCAGCAATAAATCGATGCAAAATTTCAAGAGTGAAACCCAATACCTGCCAGGGCACAGCATCTTTGTTTTACAAACCCATCCTTGTCCTCTTTCAGTTTGGTGCTACCCATCACATCTAATGAAGCAAAAGGAGTGTTATTCCATTTTTAGCATCATGTGGATTAGGCAAAGCCTCCTTAGCAAGGAGGCTCCCATTACTGAATTTGTCCTCTGAGCAAAACCACAGCTGAATTGTGAGGTGCCCATCTCCTGGCCAGAGATATCAACTTGTGAGTCATCAGCCTGAGGTGGAGAATAGAAGAATAAGAAAGTCAATCAGAGAGCCTTTTGCAGGGAAAACTCTTATTTGCTGTGGTGTCCAAATAGGCACTGCAAGACCTGCCCTTCTATTTTAACGTTGTGCTGGCATGCCTGGTCTTTAGGCTATGACCTGTGATTGAACTCCCTGAGACAAGACATTTTTGCCAAGGAACAGAAACATCTGATCTGTAGCAATAGCAATGAACTTCATTAAGAATTTTATATGCCTATATGGGGGAAAAAATTCCAATCAAAGGTTAAAAATAATCCCCCTCCCAAATACCGCCTGGCAGTGAACAAGGGACTGAGCCATGGGGATCCACCTGGTGCTTGCCACCCCCCCAGCCTGCTGCTACGTGACCAAGGAGATGCAGCCATTCCTGCCTGCATCCAGTCCCACCAACGAGGATGGATGCTGGGGACCTGTGAGAACAGTCACGTGTGTTTCCAGCTTACATGCCGTGAGCTCCTGAAAGATGCTGCTGTGGAAGATGGTCACACCTTAATGAGCTTATCTGCTAATGTTTAGTTTGGCCCCTCTTCTACTGTATTTGCTGTATCATGAACATATATATGTATAAATATGTATTTTTTCCCTCTTTAAAAGCCTCTCTCCCCGTTATCCATGATAATGGAGAGAGTTAGAGGGCTTTTTCTTTTTAAAGCGATTATGATTATGTGCAACCTTTGCTCCCGAGTCATTCACACAGAAAGCACAGACAAGCCCCCCTGCTGCGAGGTGACAGCTCTGTCTGGCTCTGCGGGGCTTTGGTATTCATAGCTCCACGAGGTCATCGCTGGAAAAAACCTTGATGGTGATGTGACCTGGCACCTCCGCTGCTTCTCGGCTGCCTCTCCCTCGGAGCTGCAGAGTCTGCTCTTCTCTGGGGTCACTGGGTGAAGCTGCCAGCACCGCCTGTCCGAGGAACTGGTCGCACAAGACGTTGCTGTTCCAGACCTAGAGACAAGGGAACAGAAATAAAATCAGATGAAGCAGTGCTTCTCTCACACTCCACTTGAAAGGGTTGTGCTGGAGGAGCGTCACCCCCATTAACCCCTTGAAAAAGTAGTGAGGAGGGGGCGTACATCTAAATTTAGCTAATTGTCTAGAGAGCATGTGGGAGATTCTGGATTTGCATGCTGATTTACATACACTACGCAAATAAGGAGCTAAATGAAGCTTTTTGCTTTCTAGGTCACAGCCTGCCTAGAAGAGGAATAAAAATTACCTGTTTATGCTCATCAGTTTATGCTACATGCCGTCAGCCTGTCTGTGCCGCTCTGCCTGCTTGTGCTCACCTCTGCAGTGTCCCAGTGCTTCTCCTCTGACTGTGTCAGAGCCAGGTCCACACTGCTAGACCAAGGGACAGCAGGAGTTCTGGAGTCCTTGGACATGTCCTTTGCTACTACTCAGCATGGGGTTGGGCGTAGAGCAAGCAGCGACTGAAATGGTGTTAATAGTGGGTTTTGCTGCTGGTCTCACATGCCAGTCTCTGTTTGGTCTGTGAAGCTCCTTAGTGTCTAACTTCCAGTTATCCTGGAAAAGTCAAAGTGTTTGAGCTGCTGTCGTGGTTTAACCCCAGCCAGCAGCTAAGCACCATGCAGCCACTCGCTCAGTCCTTACCCCCTCCCAGTGAGACAGGCAGGGGAGTTGAAAAACAAAGTAAAACTTGTGGGTTGAGGTAAGAACAGTTTAATAACTAAAGTTAAAAATAATTTTAAAATATAATAGTAATAATAGCAATGAAAACAAATGTAACAAAAAGAGAGAAATAAAGCCCACAAGAAGACAAGTGATGCACAGTGCAATTACTCCCTGCCTGCTGCCTGAGCAGCAACCTGCCCCTCCCAGCCAACTCCCCCCGGTTTCTACACTGAGCATGATGTCCTATGGTACAGAATATCCCCTTAGCTAGTTTGGGTCAGCTCTCCTGGCCTTGCTCCCCCCCAGCTTCTGGCACACCTGCCCGCTGGCAGAGCATGGGAAACTGAAAAATCCTTAACTTAGGATAAGTTCTACATATCAACAAGTAAAACATCAGTGTGTTATCAACATTACTCTCACACTAAATCCAAAACACAGCACTGTACCAGCTACTAGGAAGAAAATTAACTCTATCCCAGCTGAAACCAGGATAGCTGCATACTGCAGAGATACAGGGTGAGGTCCCCCACATGTAAATCCAATCTTTACTAAGGATTAGGCAATCCTGCACATGCCAAGAACACAGACCATATTCCATCAGCTGTTGTATCATTCCCTCTAACACGTAACTATAGTCTGTGGTTTGGGGGATAACACTACTATCATCCTCCTTCTGGTTTATAATATTTGTAGAATATACCTACTAGTTCAGAGGAGTGCTGTGGCACAGGAGTACTATGCACCAGCACTGCATTAGGCAGCAAAAAGTCAGAAATGTATCTCTTCTTGCAACACAGTGCTATAAAGCTATTTCAATTTCTGGCACTTACATGCCACAGTGAATTGATTCACAGATTCGTTGTACGATCTCCCAACACAGATGAAGAAGACATAGTCCTTAGTATCTGTCTAACATTAAACAACTATGTTTATCAAACTGAAATGCCGTTCCACTCTCTCAAATTTTTCCTGGACTGTCTTATCTAAATACCAAGCTCTGTTTCTCTACCCAGTGCTGAGGTAAACATTGTGGTCTAGTTCCCACAGGACTGGAATTCAAGGTGAAAAACTTCTTAATAGCAGCTTTAATTTTGGTTTTATTTTAAACACTGGCTCTGGACAACACTTGTTTTTCCTTTGTCTCTGTTTCATCAGGTACCAAATAAGACAAAAGGTAATTCTGTATATTCCTTCAAAGCTTTGGAATGAAATATGCCTTCTGATCTCTAAGTGTCATCAGTTGCTATTTTACAGAAGAGACCTAGACTAGGGAGTCAGTGGAAGAGCTGAAGAGCTCCAGGCTTGGCCCAGTAAGGAAAGCAGAGGTTCTCACACTTCTGTCCCAGGTACCAGTCATAGGAAGGAAAAAGTTAACACACAGCAAGCCCAGTGATGCTGTTGTGTGCTGCTACCTGCTTCTGGCAGCCCACCCTTCATGGCTTGTCTCACCTGGACAATGACAGGACTGTCGATGTTCTTTCTGTAGAAAATCACTTGTGTGTCAAAGATGGCACTGGTCGTATCGTGTTGCACAGGGGAGCGCATGTTTTGGTTCTCGCACTTGATAAGCACGTAGGGATCTGCTCCTAAAACACAATCAGTAGCACGGCTATTAGGACACAGAATGGCAGCCGAGACCTACCCAAAAACCCAGCAGAAGCAATCCCCTCCTGTGCCCGGCAGCACCACTGCTACTGAGCACAGGAACAGGGCACATCACGTCCCCTGCTAGCTGCCCATCACCAGCAGAGGTGAAAAATCTCATTCTTGTAACAACTGGATGCTCAGAACTGGAAACCAACCACCAGCTGCTGTGAAACCAGCTCACTCCTAGACCAGGACTGCAATCTGTCCACATTCCCTTGCTGTGCATCCTCCTGGCTCATCTAACAGAAAGTCTTCAAAGTGACACTCTAAGCTCCCTGACACTGCTCTAGCTGTCAGATCCAAAATGCATCTGTGTGCATGCAATCTGGTATGTAGTTCTGGGCGCCCAGGCCAAAATGCAAGGTAAAAACTGTTCATCATCCACAATGGCTATGGAGGCCAAGGACAGGAACTGCACAGAAGTGGTTTCAGGGCACTGAATGCACATCTCGGTGCCCACCTTTAGACTGCCTAGCTTCAAAGTGCTGCCTACTGTATTCTAGTAGGGGTATTAGTGTTAGGAGGTAGTTTTCAAGAAGCAGTTTCTCTTCCAGAAAGTAAAATATTGTCAAAATGCAAAAACATTTTGTAGGAGTGCACTGGTTTCAACAAAGTTTTCTGTGGGAAACCGTCAAAGCAAATCCTCCCTAGTTTCTCATTTCCTTTCCATGAACGTGAGACAGTTTCTTCAGTTCGATCATTTGGATTGATGTAATTTTAAAGTTTATGTTACCACAACATGTTTGTATCTATTACAGGTCCTGGTTAATGTTTTGAATTTCACTTTAATCATACATAACCCACTGAGATTATTCAACATTCTAGAAATGCTTTGTTGTTTTTACACTGAACATTTTTACTTTGTTATAAATGTTGATATTTTTCTTTTCATTCCAATAGGGAGCAAGAATCAACTTTCAAACACCAGTCTTTATCCTCAAATAGAACGATCTGTTCCACTGTCTAATTAACTTTTAATAAAACACAGGCAATACCATTTTTTTATTTCAACACAACTATTTCTGTCCATTCCTATTAATGACAGCATACCTGTTTTTCCACACCTACTTTTTATCTATGGATTTTAAATAAACCCAATGAATGTATGTAAGTCAGACTCGTCATCATTTCTTACATTTTGTCACCATCTACTTGAAAATGCCACCACTGGAATGAGATCCGTAAGACAGCATAATTGTAAGGCAGCTTTCATTTTTTAACAATTCATTTTTCCTCAAACACATCACTCATTTGCAGGAATGGATACCAACATCTCACGCAAACAAATCACATAACAGCTACATCCAAAACAGAAGGAGCTACTTCCACTTATGAGAAAGAAACCAATTTTTCTGTTTGCTGCACTATGATTTCACCTGGCCAGAAATGCAGTAGGCCTGTTACCCTGACAACATCTCACACTTTCTATAGCAGGTAGCAATGTACTTGCTTTTCTGATAGGCAATTACTTTCTGTGTCACTGAATGTGTGGATTTAGCTCTGGGGCACGGGGCGGCACCATGCTGTGTAATCAGTGATGGAAAAGCTCCCCCCTTTGCAAAGAGATTTGGAAAATGGATCTGAATAAAATGGGGTCTTACAAGAAATGATGTCAACTACTTTGGCCAAAGGCAAAGAGCGAAGCAACATCTGATTATTAACAGTAATTAAGAGATAAAGGGCGTAAGAAGGGGTGGGGAAAGGACACTGAGTTTAAAGAGGTAACTGGCCTATCTGCTGGGCCAGGCAGCTGTTAATGAAGGGACTTTCTAAGTGAAAGGAAAAGGAAAGCTAGCATTGGAAAGAAACATTCAAATTCTCAGAAAGAGCTAGGAAAAAAGAGGTAGAAGAGGAACATGAAAGGCACACGTGACCTCATGATGGCATTGCTGAATGGTCAGTTATATTAGGAGGACTGGCTCCAATTTCAGAACAAAAGAAAGAAATAGGAGAGCTGCACATGTGGGATGAGACCAGGGCCGTTCTCAGCTACAGCTGGCCCAGTTCTTTGCAGCTCTGGGCCTGGTTCATTTAGAGTAGAAAGGGCTACTAATGTGGAAAAGCAACACCCTAGTACTCGTCATGAGCTGGGAATTCAAACAACTGGAGCTGCTACTCTGGCAACTGCTCTGGCAGTGGAAGGAGGACTGGGTTCAGTTCTCAGGCACACACAAGCTATGCCCTGAACACCATACTGTGTACAAACAGCTGTTGTATCTCAGTCCTACGGCCATGCTGTTGGATTGGGAAGTTGTATGAAAGAATAGCACAAAGGAAAAAGTTGAAATCTGTAACAGCCAGAAACACTTGAACAGTAATGACATTTCTAAGGCTTAAAGAATCTATGCACAGTAGTCTAAGACTAACTTTTTTTTTTTTTTTTGAGAATTGCACTGAGGATCTAACATCTACATCATTCAGCACGGTACCAAAACAAAAGGCTTTCTAGAAAGCGTTCTTGAGAAGGAGTTCTCTGAGACATTTCCACTCTTCTCCAGCTAGACCACTCTTACTGGTATATGGAGAGCTATGACAAACTCAGTCACTGGAAAAAGGCACAGGCCAGAGCAGACACAGTGCAGAGACACAAGCACTGCCTTGGGAATTACAACAGGTTGTTTTGCCTTTTGCAGTTGAGTCTTTGCTCATGTGATACCTCTTAACTTCTCCTGCAATACAGATAATAAAAGGGAGTCTTTCCACTGACATCAGTAAATCCTCCCCCATCTTTGCTCCATTTTCTCGTTGCTTCCCTTCTCATGCTTTGACTGGATATTTTTCCAGCTGCTTTTTGCCTCCTCCTTCCTTTTATTTCTCAGACTGCTCTCAAGGCAACTCTGCTTACCGGGTGTGTCACATACTAGGGATCACAATACCTAGTCTAGAAAAGAAGTGGTGAATGGCAATTGAGCATGCAAATTCAACATGGAATTTCAGTGGGAAGACTTAAAAATGCAAAAGGTGATTTGTTCTCAAAGATAAGCTCTTGGGAAAAGAGTGTGACAGAGTAGTGAGAACAATTTTTAAAACAGACTTGGGAACGAGAGAGAAAATCTCTAAGCACACAGTGCTTCATCTTCTTGCAAACCTGGCCCTGCACTTGGCTCACAGATAGCTGGATCGACTTCAGAACAAGCTAACTCAGCGAGAGGTACTTCCAAGAGAAGCAGCCTGTACGCGTTCAGAACTGAGTCTGGGCAGCTAGATTTATCCACTATTCTTGACAACAGCAAACCATTCATTATTTTTTTCCAGACAGGACAATGGATCAAAGACAGCAGCATGATGGAGCTTTCCAATAAACATTTAAAACAGATTAAACAACCAGGTAGCAGGGTTCTGATGGCAAGCAGCTCCTGAGCCAGGCCAGGTGTGCACTTGTTATGCAATCTTTATTCTCTTCCACTATTGTTTAAGTAGTTGCTCAGAAATTTGAGCTAAGCACAACTCTCAAATGACAGTGATGAGCTTATGTCAAGAACAGTGTATTCAAGTCTAAAATCTCTTTATCCTAGTTCTATCAAAAAAAGCTGTCTCTGTTCAGGCTGCTCTTACTTTCTACAAGTGCATATCCCAGCGTCAGAGTATAGAGACATCCTGATGTTTTCAGGACAGTCTGTCACAGAGATGTAATGCCATGTTTCAGTTGTCAGAAGCTTCTGAATGAATCATAACCTCCTCCTTTATTATCAAGCTTTGGCTTCTCTCTATGCTAAGGGATGATAGTGACAAACCAGGCAGGTGGCTGGATGAGGCAGAATGCAGCTGACAGATGACAGAGACTGAACATAAGAAAAGCAGCAGCTTTAGAGCTGAAATGCTGCAGATCAGAAGGTGAAGAAGAAGTCAGGAAACCCTTGTGAAATGCAGTGGGGCTAATCAGACACTGCAGTTCACATAGATCAAGTTGCCAGTGACATTCACACCAGAAAATTAGTAACCTGTGTAAGATTCTCTTAGCAGCAGGCAAACACAACGACTTAATCTATGTATCTTCTACTTGAATAAACATATTGACTGTGCCTAATCTGAAAGGAAACCTCTACTTGTCACTCCCAATGGCAATTGCTGTGTGGCCTCTTCCCTCATCTCTGTTAATTAGAAAGGAGGCTGCTGTTGACTTTTAAATCTAGTTCACATCAGGAAATGCTGCAGGAGCAGCAGGTAAGGCTGGTATTTCGGTAACAGCCCGTGTGACTTTGAGGTCTAAACTCACTTCTGAGAAAGCTGGTCCTTTTCAAATGCCTGGCTGCTATTTCTCCTCGAGATAAGCATGGGAGAGGGTCCAGACATGGATCCAGAGAAGCCAGAGAGGAGATGAGAGATGACAAGGAGTTGCATTCTTTTGTGGCAGTATTACAAAGCAGTCTTAGAATATGGGATATTTAATGTCCCTGGACACATTACTTTCTAAGTGTAAGTTTACAATCCAGCCAGACAGTGTGCCTCATGGAATTTCTATATCCATTCTTTTAATCTACCAAAAAAAAGAAAAAAAAAAAAACAAATGTGAGAAACACGCACCATACCCAGCCTTTTATGTTACCAAAAATGGACTCTAGTATCAATCAGGAACTTTGCCAAATTTCCCAGCGAGGTGCCCTTAGAAGGCAGAGTGCCAGTTATGGGCGTTATCTGTGTTATTGCACAGCTTGATTTTACTGTGCAGCACAAATGTTAGCAGTGCACATTTGGTTTCATGCTTTTTTTTTATTTACACACTCGCTGCTGCAAGATATGGCATTCTGCAAGTCAGTCAATGAATGTACTCTGTGAGTTGGAGATACCTATAGGAAAAAAAAGGCTAATAAAGAAAGATTCAAAAAGGGATTTCACAGCAGAATTCAAGATAATGGGGAAGCTACTGAAGTGAAGTAACTCAGCCCTCCTCCAGTGCCCACTGTATGGATGAGATTTGGAGAGACAAAGGCTTTTACTGAAAGCTTTATGTTGTTACAAAAGGAAAATATTTTAACTTTTTTGGTGAAGTTTTATTCAAAGTCAAACAATAAGATTCATTTAGGTTTTGTGTTCAAATCCTCTTATGTTTTTGATTAATTTAAAAATTACATGTTTCACACAGGGAAATGGAAACACTTCAGAAAAAAATTGACAATGACTGATTTTTTTTCAGCCACTTGATGAATTCAATACTAATTCACAAATAGTATCACTTGACCCAATTATGCATTTTTTCATCAGATAAAATAATCAAGCAGAAGTTTTGCTTGGGTTTAAACAGAATATCTGTGACTTCATTTCCTATAGGTAGTCATTTCCACAATAGGTTACCTTTTCAGCTCTGTCAGGGTAATCAGCAGCCCAACACTGGATGCTGAAATCAAAGTGGAAGAAGATGCATCAACTCAACCTGACCACGAGTGGTAGCACTGATTCCTAAAGGTATTTAGGCTATGCTGTAGTTAGAATATTTATTACACATTGGTTGAAAGTCCTATTTGTGTATTCCCTAGAGCCTGTCACAATGCACCAAATCCCACAACGCTCTCTGAGCTCAAGCCTGATCTTTGGCAGCTGCAGGCAATTGTTTTTAATGATCTTGTCAAGGCCCTAATTGTGCTAAGGACTGTGAAATGCTGGGGGTGGAGAATTGGCTTTTATTGCTTTACAGCAGGGAGTGTTAAAGAAAAATGTTTAAGGAATTTTAAAAGGAGAAAAAAAAAACAACAAAAAAAAAAATCCTTAAAAATTAAAATGTCCTTCCCAGGGCAAGAACAAGACCATACTGCCTCTTTTCAATGCACTGCTCTACTATTCTTGTCACATGTAGCCTCTTCAGTCTCACTATCCATTCTGCATTGCTGAGAACATGGAGCTATACTGCTTGCTTGACTGAGGTGTTTGTGGCTCCTGTTTTCAAGAAAAATACCAAGAAAAATGAATTGAATCCATTTTCTATATCTCTTCCCTCCAGCATTCCTGTCCCCTGAAGAGACAACCACACTTAACAGAAAGTGGCTTTCACAGTGAAAAGTACATTCAGTCACCGCTCAGTGGGTGCCAGGAAAAACTATGAAAAGGGGACTGGAATAAAACTGTAGCCAGCTGGTGGGAGAAATTTTACAGCTGCTTTGTGAGACTGATGATGAACTGTACTACAGGTCTCAGTCTAATGCCTTTTCTACCACGAGAAGTTAATGCAACTGAGCTCCACATCTTAAACTGAAGAGAGCTGAAGAGTTGTATGGAGCAAACACAGCAGATGTTTCAGGAACCTCTTTAGTTTCCTGTTCCAATTTCACCACAGTATCTCTGCTCCTTTGCTTTCTCCCTACCCACCACTCAGTGCTGGATGTGTCTACTTTTTTCTATTGCACCGGTCATGGAAAACGAAGGCCAACAGACCGAGAGGAGTAGAAAATGAGGAAGCAAATGACAACTGGACAAGTCTCCTATTTAACTGTCAACATCAGGTGCCAGAAAGACATTTTAGTGTCCTTCAGGACACTTTCTTTGACATGTAGATACACAATCCTGTACAAGTCATTTAACCTCTCCCTGTCCTAGTTTACCCAGCTGAAAATGGTTGTTGAAAACCATAATTTCCTCCCTGAAGTGCTATTAAGCTTGTGGTAATGAAGAACAAAGTGCTCTGAAGGCTGTGAATGACATTGCTGAGCTAAGTGTATAATACACTACATGAGTCTCTGCAATTCAGCTCTCTCCCTGGGTATTTTCCATTTAGAAAACACATAACCCTGAAAGGTGAACTTACTAATCCCCACCAAAAGCTTTTCAGGAGGGTCTGGATACTCCTGCCCATCTGGACCAGCACAGATGACACACAACTCTTGCTGGTTTGCATCATCTGATTCATCTGATCTCTCCTTTTGAGCAGATTTTACAACGTGCTGGAAAAAAATCCCATAAATCTTCAGTTAGTTTGGATAATTTCTGACAGCTTACATATCAACTGAGATCATATTTAAAGGACTGATGAAGCCCCTTCCACTCTTTCAGGCTTGTTTTACACTTACCACCTGATCTGTCTTGCTTCTGTAAACCCTCTGCAGAGTAAACTTTGATTTGGGTGACTCTGCGTGGATAGCCGCAAAGAAGACTCCAACATGTCATTTTAGGTTTATCTGCCTTCAGCTCCCTGAAAAATCATGGGAAAAGCAATTGAAGCAACATATGTCAAGCAAAAAATCAACGGTTGTGGAAATCTGGCATTTTCAGGATGTAAGATTTGTACTCTTCCCTCACCTACCGTTTTGGAAGATTGTGGTACAGAAATGACAGGCTTATGAAAACAGAGCAAAGAGAAGTAAACCAAATGTGTGTCATCCTTCACACGGCAGCAAAAGTGGTGGAAAAAAGCTCACTTTAAGTCATGGAAAATAGTATTGAAGCAAGAAAAAAATTCAGCAGGCCTGATTTCATGAAACACTAGTTTTGCCCATGCAGACAACCACTGGTGTCAAAGGAAATGGTGAAAAAAATAAACAATATCAACTGTAACAGTAAGCACCAGTGCTCAGTGTTCTGACCTGGAACTGGAGGCAAGTAAAAAAGCCAAAAGACCAAAACTGGATTGTCCACTAGCTTCTTATGTAAAAATGTCCTGACCATTCACAAATCCCAGTGAGCTATTTGGGCATTCTTGGAGGGGACCTTGACCATCTCAAGGGCCTAGTTCTGGAGCTACATGAGCAAGTGAGTCAGGGACAGTTGAGGGCAACCAGGCAATCATTTCCAAGGAGGTGCAGCCAATGTGGGCAAGGAAAGATCTCATGTAGCTGTGAGTGCAGCCTACCTGAGTTTTGATGGCACATCTGTGAAGAGTCTCAGGATAAATTTTGTAACAATGCCAGGATGGTATGTGGTTGGGATCAGGATGTAGCGGCCTTGCTTAAGGATCCTCTTCAAGAACACAGTGCGTGTGTTGATGTACAGAGATGTGGCCACTCTCTCCTGCACAGTCAGCTTGTGTAGTCGATAGTTTCTGTTATCCTCCACCTACAGCCACAGAGCAGTATAGGGATTAATGCAAGGAGGGATATCAAGAGCGAACAGGCAGGATGTTCTCTGCACATCACACAGCCTTTCATGGGCAAAAAAGATGATGTGCAGTAAAGGCAAATGGTTTGGAAAATGGTTTTTCACCCCCTAAATTTATGGTTTATGCTTTGTTCTGAGCCTCGAAGCTGTGCTTAACTATTAACGTCCTCTTCGGAGAACTGATATTTGCCAGAGCACAGTTAAAATTTAAATCTATTTCTTCAGCAGCTCCTGGGGGCAAAGACAGCCCTATATTATTTTCTCTTTTGTCTTCAGATAATTTAGGCCATGGTCTTCCAAAGGCCTTTAGTCACGATGTGTTAGCCTGGTGGGTTAGAACACTTCTGAAATAGAAAAATTATTGAACAGAAATAAAGATAAAGCATTGATACTTTTCTGAAGAAGTGATTTTCTTCTCCAAGCCTTTCCAAATTAGATATACAGACATGAACAAGGTAAGGTAAATTATGCTGCTTTCTCTAACGACACTTTTCAGTATCTATGGTTAGCAGGCGATTGTCAAATGAATAGGTGTGATGCAGATATCAGCAGCTCTGACTGTTAAAAACTGACTATTTCTTAGGATAAGGCCATAGACTCAAGTGTCATCCCACTAGCTATAGTAACAGATGATAATTCTGATCCTCAGTGAAAAAGCAGATGCATAGTTTTTTCTCTTGCTTTCTTCCTATGTTTCAGTTCATATGTTTTCATTTTACTCAATTTGCCCTGGGAGTGCAATTAGATTACTGTTTGGGATCCCTTTGGTTCCTTTTCACATATGCTCATTTCCTACTCACTACTCTAGCTTTTGAAAACATTCCTGACTCTTCTTTCTGAGTGGCAAAAGAAAAACTGCAGACTTTTCAAATTCATTCACTTGGCTGTATTTGCCAATGAAATGGAGGCAGGAACTTCCAGTGAGAAGGAGAAAAAAAACCTCCATGTTTCAATCGTAATATTTTTTTGTCTTTCTCTTCAAAGCTTGGGGTAGGAAAAACACTTAAAATACTTTTGCAATAGGGAAAAATGAATTATGTTCCTTTAGTTTAAATTGAATTTAGTTCAATTCAAACTCTATTTAGTGCAAATAGTCTGTCTAATGTCAGCTCTGGTGACTGAGTACAGTACACATGCAAAGCTCATGTTGAGATGAGAGCCAGACCCCACCATGATACTCATGCCTCTATCTGCCAAAGATCTCACTGCCAGGATGAAGCAGGACTGCTGAACAAACTCTGAATCAGGAGTGCAGATGGCTGCCTACCTTGAATATTTCAAAGCCAATTGGGATGCTGTCTCCTTTCCCTTCTTTCTTGTACTTGCGGCGATCCTCCTGTTGTAATGAGACCAACACTTTGTCCTCAGTCTTCTTAACATCAAAGACGTACTAGGAGAAGAGGGCAAGCTGTTAGAAATGCCTTAAGATACTGAGGATAAAGCCATCACCAGGGAAGTACTGCACACAAAGGAGGCAAATGAAAACACACTTTGGGGTGGGAGGAGAGTTCTCCATATAACAGACATTCCTAGCAATTCTCAGCTAAAAACAAATGCTAATAATAAGGATCTTTAAACCAAAAGTATCAGAGACACTGAAACCAATAATTCACATAAAGGACAGTGTGAGACAGTATTACAAAATAAGTGTTGAGGCAGCAAAAGAGAACATCTCCTATGAAGGCAAAAGACAAAAGATTAAGTTTTGTTTAGTTATATATAAATCAGGAATGAGATCAAAAAATAAACCAAACAGACAGGTGGGGTCTTTGATAGTTTTTTGTTCTTCTTTTAACTTGAATATTTAGACAGAGCCTGTAAATTTCAAACATCTTTATACAGGACCTGCAAATGAAGGAATCTTCTAAATCTTAGTTAAAAAAACCCCAAACCCACAACTTCATTCTGCACCTACAATGTATATAATAATGACAGGAATGCTAATTTTGGACTTTCTCAGTTTTCCTGGAAGTCTTAGGAATATCCAGTAAAAAGGGCTAAGAAGGACTCCTGCATCTTTAACATGCAAATCTTTCATCCAAACTTGAATCAACTTGGGTTTAAGACCAAAGGAATTTATTTCAAGTTTAGGCAGCAGTTCCCATCTCAATAAATCAGATTTTAATTGCTTACATTATTAAGACCAGTTCACGAGTAAGTACGTACCCTTTCAGTAGACAAAAAGGGTCAGATAGGTGGGGTTTTTTTATATGAAAAAGAATTAAACACTCAAATTTGTTCACTATTAGAGAATCCTTTACGTTTTGATCCTTTCATGCATACAGTGGGAAAATCTGAGTTGTCAGAACCAGTGGAGGGGAAAAGGACACTACATACGCCAAGCTCAGTCAGATGCTATATTCTTCCATCCTCAAAAATCTTTAAATGCGAAGCAAACAAATAAAAGCATAAAACTGCAGTGGTGCACAGCTGGGTACTATGTGTACCACACATTCTGATCTATGCCAAAATTGTCTGACAGCATGGAGAGGAATATCATCAGTATTTCAATTCCCCTTTCCCTGTTCCTCCAAGAGCTGCTAAAAAGCAAATCCTCATTGAGTTCTGCTCTGAGGTAGATACTGAGATTTCCTTGGTTACTGTTGTGGAACGATCTCCTGTAATGACATCACACCCCTCTGTGGTTAGAGCTCTGCAGAGTAAGGCACCATCCCATTTCTCATCCCTGACCCTCACTGCTTCAGGCAGTGTCACACCCACATGGAGGAAACACCAACCTCTAGCAGAGCTGGCTGAAGCACAGCAGTATTGGAAAGAAAATCAATACCTTCCCAAGCCTCTGGGCTTCATTAGTTGTTCACAGTATTTACAGTCCAGACTGGCCTCCTACAGAACTACTGCTTGTTATTCTGGGCTGGTTGTTTTTTTGGTACAAATTCAATGATTCTTTGTACTCTTATTTGTGTGCTGCATCAACATTGCGGCAGAGGAAAGCACAGGACCCTGAAGAGAGTCCTATGGGTTGTAAAGAGCCTCTGCAGAGAGAATCTAAAATGTGAGATATAAACACGCAGCAACACCTAGTAAAGCACATTTTAATTCTTGTCCCTGTTGAACCATATGCAGTGTTACCTTGTCAGATAGCCTAGCTTATTCCAGGGCAAATGGAGGTGTGGAAGGGGAACTGTGGGAGTGCAAGAGAGTTCTTTTGGTCTGATGAGAGGTATGCAACTGTGATGATCTTTGATCTGATGACATTTCAGCTGTCCTAAGGGGTAACAATCTGGAAATTAGCAGGTGGCTGTAGGAATGCACTTATATTTGGCTTAAATTCCCCTATTTTAAAGGGACTGGAAGTGCCACAATCCCTCTCTGTACAGACAAACTTCACAGGAGGCCTCAGTGTCAGGCATTCCATTCAGGGAGAACAGACAGAATTCATCTCTAGACTGCGGTAGTATGTGCCACAGTAGTTTATAACAGCCCTAAGCAAATATAAAATGTATTCCAGCACTGCTATTAAGAGCCTTTTAATCAACTAGCCTAGAGATAAAACTAGAATAAAAAGGACTTCTATTGCATCAGGCATTGCAGTCAACCGTAACATGTATATTTTGTTCTCTGTGGCAGCTAAACACTTACAAATGAGACCCAGACAAGCACTTGGAATACATCCAGAAGCATACAGGGGAATATCTGAATAAAATCACTATCTGGAAATGAGGCACTGACAAAAGACAGAGCATTGAAGAACTGCTTCTCAGTCCACACCTATATGACAGGATAAACTGGGAGTTTGAGATTCACTCATAATCTGAACAGCAAAGGCTCAGCTTCTCCAATATCCTGCTATGAAAGTTGAGGGGTGCAGAAACCTCCCACACAGGTGCAGAGAAGCAGACACAAGAACATCTTTAATTAATCTGAAGTATGTGGTGAATTACAAAAGAACAGAAAGGTCAGTTTTCAAAGTAATAACTAAAGCATTAAGTGCCCAGATCTCATTGACAGTAATGGAAGTTATAAATGCCTGAATTTGCATGCACTGGGATGAAAATGTGCCCTGAGAAGGGCAGGAAGGTGAGAAATGGAGTAAGGCTAGATGAACAGATAAACTGAAAAGCTTGAAATTTACCAGCTAGGATGAGACAAGGAAAATTCTGTAATGCTGATCAGAGAGGGTGAACTTGGGGAAGAGACTGGATACTTTCAAAATCTTCGATTAATGCAAAGGGACACTAACTAAATAGAGTGGACTAAATCCTCAGGTGGTTTAAGGGTGTTAAGTGAATGGAGTTCTGTCATTAGAAAAATCAGACTTGCTGCCTTTTTACAATTGGGAAACTGAAAGAAGCCCAGGCAGGACTTTACTAATCCTGGTGTGTCTGACTCATCAGCCCCAAACATGATCAGTCTTAAACAAATACATAAACTTTTCTGAAAGATTTCACAGAAATCACTGACACATGCAGTGAACCAGCATACTCCCAAAGGATAGGCATGGGCAATGAGATTTCTGCAAAGTAGTCACTCCCAACTCCTAAATGAGGTGGATACTTCAGAAGCCCTAGCTAACATGGATACAGTTTAATACCTCGCAAAATACAGGGATTCCCACCTGGGGATTCTGAAGGAAGGTCTCTTTGTTATCAAAGCATCCACCAGAGCGATTTAGTAGGGGCTCTGAATTCTTAGCCCAAGCCCCATGCATCATTTTCTTCTCCCAGGTCTTGTGGATACTGAAGTAGGAGGTATTCACAATCCGGCAGATGTCTACATCAGTGAAATTCTTACACCAGTCCTCAAACGTCATCCTATTCCATGGGACACCAGGAAAGTAATGATAAGTAAACAGTGATACTCACGCAAAGAGCCAAAATAACACATGAACTCTTCCAGTAATTCAAGAGGAGGCATTGCTCAGCTGTCCAGAGGACAAACTGATTCACTGGAAAGCTCTCCATGTGGAAATACTTGTGAAGCCACAATCACATTATCTTAGAACTTAATCTAGAGAAATATCACTTCAGTGTGTTTGGTCAGCTCTGGATTTGTTCTGTTGCAGCACCTAAGCCTAAAGGATAGGCTGTATCCACCAGGCTGGACTTGTTAACATATATTTTACAAAGGCAAAAGAGATTCCCTGCAACCAAAGCACTACTCACTCCTCATTATTATGGTCCTTATAGCTACATCTGTCTGTGTGCATGACTCAAACCTCTGTACTCTGGACGTACCTTTTATTTAGCACCATCTTAATGCTGTAACCTGTGACTGCTGAAGTGACAGACTGGACTGCAGAGCAGTTAAAAAACATTCACCTCCTCTAACAACTTGGGATCTCTGAACTACCATGATGTCCTGGCTTATTAACTGCCTAGAACCAAACCCTACAGCTGGCTTCCAGTTGCCAGTTCTGACAAAGCCAAGCAAACGAGACTTTTCATACTGAGCCCTACCAACACACTTGATGAAATATTGATGATCCACTGAAGAAGTTGCTGGACTGCCTCAGCGTGTCTAAACTTTAAGCAGAGTCAAAATTATTGGAGTCCTAGAGATTCTGTAAAGAATGAATACTTCTTGTGCCCATGCTGGAAAACACTGATAAATACCAACATTCACTGGTTGTAATTGTATTTACAGATACCTCAGCCATGGTTGACCTAGAAATCCTACAGATAGGCACAGTAGTCAGTAAACAGGACTGACTGTGTTCAATATTTGGCATCCTGTCATGTAAACCAGGACATGTGTTGTCTTGGATTCTGAGTGAATGTCCTAAATATAGATAACAAATTTTGAGAGTGTTTGAAACTTATATTTACTAAGAGCTACTAATTTTGTTCTACTAGTTTTTAATTAATTTTTTCTGTTCTTCTCTGTCATCCCTTGAGAGTTTAAAAAGAAACAGACCTTATGCCAGGACTGGATAATCTTATCCATTTGGGAAAGTTGTTTTTAATTCTATCATTTAACACCTTTGATGTCAATTACTCCATGTAGCCAGTATCTCCAAACCCTTCACATGATTCCCACTCACCAGAACTCTCCATCATTCTCAAGAGTGAGTCCCAAGCTCTTACGTTCTGAATCACTGACTTTCTTCCATTCCTCAGAACTAAAATGCAAAAATTAAATACATTAAATAGTCTCATATCGAAAAAAAATGCAAGTGAAATTCTCTCATGGTCCTTTGTTATAAAGGTAACATCAGAGTACTGAAAGGACAGATGATATCCAGAAAGAAAGCGTGGGGCCTACAGGAGGAGTTTTAAAACAATAATTGATTTGAAAACTACTAAAAAAGAAATATGAATGGAAAATTGGCATAACTAGAGCAAAACTTTATTCATGCCCTCCCTTAGGACAATTAAACAGCTGGTTTGGAAGACCATATGAGATTGACTGCATTCCCTGAAAGCCCTTCAAAAGAAACCTGGTTTTCCTCCTCAGGACCTTACTGAGCACTTCACTTAGACCAGAGTATTATCTTTGTCTTTCAATCTCCTTAAATAAAACAGGCCTGAGGTCTGGGATTTCCCCAGGGAGCCTTTGAGAAGAAACTGCTGCAGGAGGAGCCTGGTGTCCAGTTTCCAGAGTAACACTACACTGCACAGACACTTCATTGCCTGCATTAGCATATAGGTTACGTGCTCTCTATTGTCCCCTGGAGGCACCTGCCTCTTTCCACTGACTGCAGGGGAGCACAGGATCCTCAGTGCAAGCAGTCTGATGATTGAATCAGACAATGTGATAAAGGACAGCACGAGCCCCTTCCCTAATGTGTTACATCAAACAAATAGAGTCACAGTTCCTCACTCCCTTTCCAGAAGTACTTGGAGGATAAAGTTGAAGGTGGCTGGCAGGAGGGAAGGGAGGCTGTTTGCTGTAACAGACTTTTTCTTAACCTATTTGGAAATTCTCAATTTAATTCTGTTGGCCAAAAACCATAGGCCAACCTCAGACTCCTCAGTGCTTGCACTGGAATGAGTGGCAGCTGTGCCAAGACAAGGGCTAGTGGGGAACCACAAGGGCTTAAGTTAAATAAGACACAGTAGCAGTTCTGCATATTCTTCGCATTTCACCTGAAACAAAATCTTTGACAGTAATAGATTTTTGCTAGTTACAGTATGGAAGATAAAAACTTAATATGCTGCTGTTAAAATCATTGCACTATTATCCACTGGGTTACTAGAATCATGGAATCAAAGAATGCTTTGGGTTGGAAAGGACCTTAAAAATCATCCAGTTCCAACCCCCCTGCCCCAGGCAGGGCCCCCTTCCCCCAGCCCAGGGTGCTCCCAGCCCCGTCCAACCTGGCCTTGAACCCTTCCAGGGAGGGGGCAGCCACAGCTGCTCTGGGCACCCTGGGCCAGCGCCTCACCCCCCGCACAGGGAAGGATTTCTGCCTTAGATCTCATCTAAATCTGCCCTCTGGCAGTTTAAAACAGTCCCCCCTTGTCCTACCCCCACCCCCTGATCCAGAGTCCCTCCCCACCTCTCCTGTCCCCCCTTTAAGCCCTGGGAGGCTGCTCGAAGGTCTCCCCGGAGCCTTCTCTTCTCCAGGCTGAACCCCCCCAACTCTCTCAGCCCGGCCCCCCAGGGGAGCTGCTCCAGCCCCCCCAGCATCTTCGTGGCCTCCTCTGGCCCCGCTCGAGCAGCTCCTTGTCCTTCTGCTGTTGGGGGCCCCCGAGCTGGCCCCAGCACTGCAGGGGGGTCTCCCCAGAGCGGAGCAGAGGGGGACAATCCCCTCCCTGGCCCTGCTGCCCCCCCTGCTCTGGCTGCAGCCCAGGGCACGGGTGGGTTCTGGGCTGCGAGCCCACGGTGCTGGCTCACGGGCAGTTTTCCCCCCACCAACCCCCCCAGTCCCTCTCCTTGGGGCTGTTCTCCAGCCACTCCTCGAGGGCCCAGCCTGGGTTTGTGCTGGGGATTGCCCCGACCCACGGGCAGGACCTTGCCCTTGGCCTTGCTGAACCCCATGAGGTTTGCCCGGCCCCCCCCTCTCCAGCCTGCCCAGGTCCCTCGGGATGCCATCCCCGCCCTCAGCGTGTCACCCACCACACAGCTCGGTGTCCCTGGCAAACTTGCTGAGGGTGCGCTCGGTCCCACTGTCCGTGTCACCAACAAAGATGTTAAACAGCATCGGGTCCAACACCGACCCCTGAGGAACAGCACTTGTCACTGCTCTCCTCTTGGACATCAAGCTGTAGACCGCAACTCTTTGCAACCAACCAGCCAATTCCTTACCCACTGAGTGGTCCATCCATCAAATCCATGTCTCTCCAATTTAGAGACAAGGATGTCATGTGGGACACTGTCAAATACTCTGCACTTATTATTTATTAAATGCTAACAGTGGCTGGTAAGCACAGTATTGAACTGTAACATTCTGGCTAAATGTTTTTCATGTGTAAATTGCCAGTAATGGAATACATTCCCTCCAGCAATCATTTCTGTCTCTGTAGGGGTGCCTGCTAAACTCATGGCCCACATTAGAATTCATTAGAAAATAATTCAAGAAATCACAAATGTGTCAATTTTACAGCATTTTTCACCAGCCACTTAAATTATCTAAGAATAAAAGACTTATACTGTCCCCAGCAGCCAGCAATTACAGATGATAAACCGAGTCACAAAGTCAGCTGGGAACAAACCTCATGTTTGTGACTCATCACCTTAATCATAGGCTCATGCTCCAGTGTGCCAGAACAGGGATGTATACAGTAAATTAAGGTCCAGTAAGCCATAACTTCCTGGCTCCTCCAGGACGCATACATTTGCTCAGAGAATGCTATACTTGGGAAGAGATGGCACAACTCAGCCATCACCGAGTATTGCAGACTGATGTGTCTCAACAGTGTTTAACCATGCATCTAATGTCCAGTGGCCCTAATCACAGTTTCATTCCTTTGACACTGGATTGCAGCACTTACTTGTCGCTCCAGGCACCATTCCACTCTCTTTTTCCCCAGGGATTCCTCAGCCTGATCATGAACAGCTTTTCTGCCTTAAAAGAGAATATGAGCCTTTCTCCAAGGCGCAGCTTCCGAATTGCAGTCACTGAGTAGGCATGGCCAATGACAAGCCCCATCTCTGTCTCCGCTTCATTGGTACTGCCAGAGGAAGCCTTTAGCACCAAGAATGACAATTAAAAAAAAAACAATTCATATCATTGAGGGACCCGGCATCTACATGTTCAAGGTGCAGGATGGGGAAGGCTTGTTTTCTTCCACAGAGCTATACGTTTGCTTCCCAAGTGATTTGACTATGCAGGAAAACAACAGCACTGGGGCTCAAAACTGGTGGCTCACTAGTCTGGTCTTTTTCATGATAGTGCCAGACAAGTCCTAGAAGATGGAAGCCCAGAGCATAGGAGAATACTGCCTGTTACAGCCATTCTGCCTCCTCCTGGCCTCAGAGAGTTAAAGACTGGACTGATGGACAACCTTTATCACCCATTCCATAATCTTGTCATCTTTACAAAATGGCCCTTCTGGATACTGATAACTGTGCTAAAACATATCACTGTCTGGTGGTGTCCTCAACTGGACACTTTGTTAGCACCTAAGGATTTAGTTGGTGAGTCCAGTGCCTGTTTCTGTGTTGGGATAAATTTGAAGGAAGAACTACTAGCAGCGGGTAAAAATAGAGGGCACAGGCAAGAAAATTTTCTAGCCATTTGTCAAACCTGCCCTGTACCTCACTTGTGACCTGGCAGGCCTCTCCTACATGGCAGCTGCAGGCTTTGTGAGGAAATGGGTTTGCTTCTCATAGATGTCACATAAGAAGCCTAGTTTCCAGCAGTGATCAGGCAGTAAACTGTCCTGCTGGATGACCTAGGCCTGATGAGATGTTGATCTAAGTATACATGGAAATTATCAAGCTCTGTAAAAGACTACAATTTCATTTAATACATCCAGATCAAAATCTCTTAAGTACATCTAAAACCAGAAAAGCAGTATCATATAAAGTTGTTGGAGTTGCTCTGAATGACTGGCCCCTTTACAAAGCCAGTACAACGCTGCTTCTGAGCAACGCATACCAAGCAGGACAAGGGAAAAAGCAAAGCTGTGCCAGTGCTATAACCCTTATTTTGAGCCAGAAACAATTGAGATTCATCACACCCTCACAGGAGCCAGCATGGGCATTTTTGCACTGAGCCATATCCAGAGTCTCTCTCACCTATATTGGGCCTTAAGACACACTCCCTTGGACAGCAAGAAAGGAAGATTTCACTCAGTGTCGAACCTGGCATGTAAACTTGCAATAACCTAATTGAATGTTCAATGATCAATCAAGCCTTTGCTCTGGTGGAGAGAGATGGATTTCTTAGAGTTATGAAATGCATATAGTACTTTCTCAGATGTATTTACCCATTTTAAAATATCTCTGGTCTAAATAGACAGGGTCCTTCTCCTAAGGCAGGTGTTGCACTGATACAACAGTGTTCAGTCCCCAAAGATAAGAAATCAGAAAAAAAAAAAAAAAAAAAAGGAAAAGATAAATTTATATCGAATTGGAACTGACAGATGGTCTGGCAACTGTGAGACTCTCGCCAAGGCCTCTTTGCCTTTCACCAGCAGTGGTTCCTAAAGAATCAGCTCATGTGCTACACCAAGACTGGCTGACATTTCCAATGGGTTTGGGCTTTCTCCAATGTAACACTTTCACTTGCATTTTTCACAACTAAAAGCAAACAAGTCCTCGACAGCATGGGAGTCTGTAACCTCTCCTGCTGCCTTTATTATCCCCCAGGCTTTTCTTACTGCTGGGCTGCCTTTCCCACCTCATTCTGAAGGCATTTCTTTATTTATTTAAATTAGGTATTTAAACATCTACTGTCTGCTCAGATTTCTAAATGGTGAAGCTCAGGGCTATTTTGTAATCCAAGGAAAATTATGATATGTTTGTAAATCAGCAGTGCAGCCACTTGAGTATTAAATAGTCTATACCTAACAATCTTCACAGTGTGTATAATACATCTATCAAAAAGTGATAAATGGAGATGAGTCAAGCCAAACCAATAGGAACAACCCCTGCGTAATCAGTGTTGAGAAGCATCTGCGTTTGACAGGCAGAAATATAATGCCAGGAAGAAGTGAAGGCATTGCAACTCTCTAATTAACTGATTTTTAAAATACAACCCTTTGTACTTAGATTATCTTCTCACCAGATCCACGTTAAGAAACTGAACTGCCTTGGCATTTGGGAGCAACCTATCATCCCAGAAACAATGTTTACAACAACAATTCACACCAGAAATTCTGGTCTGCCAGCCTGGTCTGAGCAAACCAGATGGAATTCTTTCTAAATAAAAATTCAGACCTTGCGAAAAAGGTAAAACAAACACCAAAGATCCAGAAGAATTTGTTTCTGAGCTGCTGCTTGATGTTGCTAGGAGGGCCAGTTCAGGACTCCTGTTCTATCCTGGCTGAGTTCTCAGGTTCAAATTCATCTCCCAGAAGGTGCCATGTGCTCCTTTCTGGTACCACGACACTGGTGCAGAGCAGTTTATAGCCAGGGCCAGCTAAACAGATAATGTTTTCAGGCATCTCCAAAGATTTTCTCTTGTTCTAGACAGCTGCACAACTACCATGATACTCACAAGAATTTCTGAATGAACCAACACTTGGGGGTCCACTAGCTTACTACTTTCCCTCCAATGGCAAGGGGCTGTGCAAGGCCCTTGTCTGTCCATGGTTTGTGAGGTATATAGCACAGCTTTGGGAGCTGCCTTCTAGCACCTCAAGTGAATGCAGAGAGGTAAAGCTTCTGCAGAAGGCAACCCTGTAACACCCTTGGGGAGGCCATCCCCTCTCTAGGGACTAAGGGAACTTGAGGGTCATGGCCTCCTAATGTAGGCACCTGCGTTAGCTGCCTCACATCATGCCAGCGTAGGCAAGTTTTGCTGGTACTATCTGAATAACCACGCGATCTCAGCTTTTCAGCTCAGCTCTAGTGTTACACTGAGGAGACAACTGCATCATCACAACCAAAGTCAAGAAGTCTGAGCAGTTCAGAGCCAGAACTGTTTTCTGTAAACAGATTTCCCTTTGAAATTGAATGCTGCTGTCTGGCCTGTAAATTAGGGCATTCTAGGTGGATTAACCTCAGGTCAATACACAACTGTGACCATTCAGAAAAAATAGCATTTCAGATCCACAGTAAAGTGGCAGCAGAAATGGCTTTCGGTTTTGTGATTGTATTTAGTGGCTCATGGAGCTGTACTTGGCTGACAGCACTGGCAACTTGCTAGCTTTTTCCATACAAAGCTTTTCCAAAGCATACAAATGAAGGACATACACAATATGCTTAAACTAATAATGGTATTTTTTCCAGATTTGTTTCACTGAAATTAACTCTTAAAATCCAGCTTTCTATACATACCATAATGGAACAGCTGATCAACCCGCCTCTTTTATGCACTTTCAGCAAGTCTTCAAACAGCTTCATCTGTTCAGAAATAATCTCACCATATTTTCCCTGTACCAAATCAATAGATTCTGCCACTGCTCCAGTGAAATCCACAATTGCATCTGCAGCGCTTCCTCCATCTAAGGCTTCGTAAGATCCAGCCAGCCTGAAGGTAACACAGAACATTCTCTGTCACCAAGTGGCTGTTAGCAGTGCTGTAATTTGGCTTGAATGCAGGTAATATATTTGTGTCTCACCAAGGAAAAAACAAAATGAAAAAACCACAAAACAAAACAGCAGATGCTGATTGAAGATAAACCTTTGCTGGGTTTCTAGGAAAGGAATGTAATGATCCTTAAGGCTTTAGGCTACTGAAGTAGAGTGCATTGCACTCTTTTATGATTCATCTCCTCCATGCAAATTAAAGGAAAATTAAATCTTTTTTAGGTTCTCTACTACCAGCAAACCTAAAAGCTATGGAAAGTATGACAGAGTTGAAAGACAAAACAAACAGATGGATAGAAGGGACAGCACTGAGGACTAAAAGGACAATGAACTAGCTCATACTTTGCATAAGCTTTCTCCAATAATGCGCTCCAGAATTCATTTTTTACATTGGAATGGCAGTAGATCAACCTTCCGTCAATTGTTGGCAGCAGATCATCAACAACCACCTCTGTCCATTCTCCAAAGCACCAGAAACGGAAACGGAAAATCCCAGCATATTTCTCTGGGTTTTTAGGGTCCCACTCTTGTTCGTTAAAATCTGGAATCACCTGAGAAACCATGGAAGGGAAAATTCACCAAATGCACTACGTTAAGATTTATTCAGAGGGCAGAGTGCCCTGGAGCATACACTATGATGGTATTCAGCTTCATGAGAAGTTGACCTTAAATAGATGAAGCATTGAAAAAAGAGAGTGAATTTGATACAAAGTCAAACATATTTCCACTTCAAAGAATCTCTTAGGAAAGTAAAACTCAAATTGATCTGCAGAGAAAGACAAACAGAACCTATTGCACACTCTAGCTTTGCTATATCTCTTTTGTGCTCAATGGGACTGTGGAGTGGGGAGGTCTCATAACATGGAAAATGAAATGCTAAAGAAGGGAAAGATTTGAATCCACCAAAATTCACCACTCTTTTCAGAGGCACATTAGTCCTAGAGGGAAAAACACTGGCTGATAGACAGGGAAACAACCAAGGTTTATTAGCTTTATTTCATGCACCAAGCACATTGGTCACCTACCTGCTGCCAGAGAGTCTCCCTCAGAGCCAAGCAGGAGCACGCAGCCACAAACCAGCAGTTCCCCAGAGTGCCTTGGTGTAAGTCGTGGGAGCTGATTCCATTCACAAACAGGTGGGGGTCTTCACAGAGGTCCTAACAAAGAAAACCAGAGCTTACTGGAGACCACTTCAGAAATGATCACAGCATCCTTCCAGCTATTCTTCACACTTGTTTTGCATCACATTCCCACTGAAGCGTGGAGTTTCTGTACCAGGAAGTTCAAAAGCTCTCTGGCACTGAGTATATTTGAAAGTCAGGGTATACAGGACTACTTAAGTTCTTATAAGTAGAACATGTTGCTTTATCTAAACACCAGGATTTGACATTTTTTTTTGCCAGAGTTCCTAGTTCTGCCCTCAGCTGAAGGTGATCTTTGAGGACTGGAATGAACTCAACATTTGGAAGACTTATTTGGCAATGGGGCAGTTAATGAACTGAAAGTAAGTGAAAGAAGAAGGAATAAACATTACAGGGAAAGGCTTTAAACGAAAAAAGAACCCATCAAGAAAATCAGCAGGAAATGATGCTACTGACACCAGAACTCTAAGCTCCTCTTCCTTCATTGCCACTCCCTTGGCTGACATACTGGAAACCCACCTCCACCAGCAGCATGAGTTACTGCAATGACCCCTGCCACCCAGAACCAAAGAAGACAGAAAATACATGTCTGTGAAATACGTCTCTCATTCTCTGGGTTTCATCTTTCTCATTTATCTGGCTCTTATTAGAACCACTTGTTCCTCCCCTCCCATTGCTTTCCTGGCTCCATCTCTATCTACATGCAGATTTTCAACAAAGCATAGTTGGCTCTTCCTGTGATGTCTCCCTGCTCCTCACAAGCTTGCCCCTTGCTGTGTCTTTATAGCCTGCAGATCAAGGCACTAAAAGGAGCAGCTCTAAGTATCACTGAACATGGGAAAGCCACAGGGGTACATTTTGCAGCACTGTTGTGTTTGTTACCAAAAAATCCTTGGTTCTGCTGAACGGATACGTATGTGGCCTCACAGTCTCAGAGAGAACCTCCCAAGTAATACTTGAGAAAACAGGGAATCTGACTGTCCCATAATTGATATGGAATCTACTAGTTTCAACCCAGTGATTGCTCATGGCACTTTCATGTGAATCATTTCATGACTGGTTAAGAGGATGAAAGAGCAAACAGTGGTAAGAAATTCTGCACTTTCACAGTATAAGAATAACACTAAATTTCAACACTGTGGGAAGGAAATTATCTTACATCCAGGCATTAGGAATGCAGAATAAATAACTCCCTCTCACCTCAAAATGGCAGAAGACTCCAAATTTACTGCAGTCTTTGCAGTTTGTTATCAGCAGCAGAATAAGGAGCTGTGCTCCTTACCTCATGGATTCTCACTACTTTTTGATAATTATAGATGATGATCCCAAAATCCCAAGGTTGCGATCCAAACCTGGCTGCACACCACAGGCAAGTCAAAACCTCTCAGTCTTCCCTTTGATGGGACTGTGAAAAATCATTGCCAGTTAAACTTATTTTCAGGGAAAAGAACCACCTCAGTGCTGAGCTGAAAGCTTGTTTTCCTGGGCTGGTTTAGCAGATGGCAGCCTGAAGTCAGCTCACAGTATGTAATGCACAGAGCTGCTGCTGTTTTCTTTAAGAAAATGATATTTTTGGCATGAGACTTTTCTCATTAAATAACAATTGGTAGAAATTTTAAGTGCCTCTTGGGAAACAAGTAACTGATCATTATATGGCACTGTTCTTCTGTCAGTATTTCTTACATGTGTCTTCACTTAGAGAAATTTCAAAACTTATTAAGAGACCTTAATAAAATTCTGAATAACAAAAAGGTGCCTACGAGGAAAACTGACCATGTACAAGATACTCATCTGCATCACGAACAGATTCATTTAGTCTGCCTGGATGCTGTGATATGGAATGGTAACAGGAATGTCAGGCTAGCACTTCAGCTGATGTAAAACAACCCGGTTGCCTGTTGCAGGGGTTGACATCAGTTGACTACTTGGCCTTCATAGTGGTAGCACACATTCCAAACCCAGCTTGGATAGGCTCAAGTTTCATATCCCATTTCCCTGCATCTCTGGCAGTAATAATTTCTAGTTTATTTTTCCTTTCAAAATGTTATTTTGTTAGTATAATAAACAAGGCATAATTTGAGCCTTCAGGGTTAAAATTGTCCAAAGTTTTCTGTCAGTAGAAGAAGACAAAACTGCATTGGTTTTGATATCATCTCTTATTTGGTTTATTAAAAATAACCATATCAAAATGTCATTTTTAAATTGAAGTGTGCCTTGCATCTCACATAGTCCTCAGAGAAAAAACAGAGAGCAGCATGTGTCAACTGCCAAACATATGGACGAGATTAGCATTTGCCGACCACTGGGGTCCAAAGCAAACACAGAACAGCACCACAGTCAGTAAATTCTTCAGGATCCTGCTTGATAAACCCTTTCTTATTAAACTGCCTAAGAGCCCCAGAGTTCTGAAACTAGGGAACAGTGCAAGAAAATGACATTACCTCTGTTTCTCTTGTCATTAATTACAGCTGTTATAACAGCTTCTATGATGACTGTCACTGTGTGGCCCAGATGAGAGGCACAACGATATTCAGGTGCAAGCCACAGCTAATTTCAGCTGTTTGCTCCCTTCTGGCATTTTTGCTTTTTACCACCTACACAGCATAGCAAATTCTAAGGAATGCTTTTGAGATGGAATTAACTATATAAGCCACAATTCCCCCAACACAGTTAGAAATGTGCTATTTAAATATATTAGCCTGGAGTTCTTGTAAGGATCTTTAAGCATTTTTGGTTGCCACAAGCATGTAAAAAAGCAATTTTTTTTTTTTTTAAATCACTTTTCCAATAATGCTGTGATAATTTAGGATAGTTGAGGACTAAGCCAACTACCATCAGAGGAATTACAAGAGAGACTGACGTGAGATACGGCTCAGGCATTCCAGGAGACCTGATGCCTTCTCTCCCTTGCAACCCAAGCACTTAGGTTCTGAGTTCCACTACAAGTACCTCCTTTACAAACATAGTTGTTTAACTCTAATCCCTTTTCTCAGGGTCGGCCTGCATCATCTGTGCTGTAAAAAAAGAGAAGTATCTTCACATTTGCAAGAAAAACTTTAAAGGATGTTACTGGGTCATATTATACAACATTAACATATAATAGCCACACTGTATCTGATACAACACCGCTAATAAAAGCAGTTATTGTATTATTTATGCCCACAGGGAGCATTCCACCATCCAAGACACAGAGCTCTCCCCAGTTCTCCCCTTACACATGTGCATAATTAAACACCATCTGCAGAACTATAATTAAGCTGTACAGAGTCTGAAACTGAGGTAAGAGGTTACAAGGGCTCACGGTACTGCTGAAAACCCTGATCCTCTTATTTTCATACCAGACTTTCATTTGCATGATAGAAGTCTATCTGTGTCACCTCTTATCCTTGCTGCACTGCGTAGGCTCAAAATATTTGACATTTACTCAACCACTGATGCAGTGAGAAACAAAGTGGCTCACAAACCGCTTTTTCTGATTTTAATTGGTTCATCTCTTTATAAAAGGGCAAGTAAATGAACTGGTTAATGAGCAGACTGGGAGAACACTGAGCAGGCTGGAAATGAGAAACTCAGTTAGTGTGGGATCACAGGAAATGACAGTGGAGAGACCTTGACAGGTTAGTCAGTCCCAACACCTGCCTGGTGTCTGAACTGGATATCCCTAACCTACCTGTGACTAAAACTTCTCTAATCTGCATTTAACACCACCCACAAGGTAAAGTCCACATGCTTCCTCCACTGGTCAGCAAAGAAATGCATTTCCGAGCTGCTCTACAAGCCCAAGACTTCTGTGAATGGGAAGAACAGCCAACCATCTTTCCTTTCCTACAGCACCCCATCATATAATCTACAAACTTCTAACAAGTTTCTCTTATCTAGTCTTAATAACTAGTTCTTCATGTTTTGTATCACTGGTGAAGTGTGGTACCCAAATCCAGACACTGTACTCCAAATGAGGCTTTAGCAGTGCTGAGCAGAGCTCAGTGCTCCTTCCTACTGAAGCTGAGGTGCCATTTTTCTGTCTTTTTCACTTGAACTTCACATACTTAACTTGTGTTCAGACTGTGACCCACCCTCTGATCCTATTCTATGGGCTTGCTGCCTAGCCATTCTTTCTCCCTAACTGAGCCATGAAGTCATTTAATACCAAAGCACTGTACTTAGTTGCACTGATGAAGTGATGCTGAATTCCATCCTATTTATTCCACACTATTTTCCCAAGATATCAAGATAAGTTTGAACTCTCAACCCTGTCAACTGGCTTGCAATCCTATCCCAGTCTGTGTCCTACAGCATTCTTGTATGCGCCTTGCTAGCCCCTCATCCAAACAGTAATGAAAATACTGAAGAATACTAGACTAAAGGAGATTTCTGTAGGACTCCATTGATACAATGCCAGTTTGAGAGTGCTCCAAGTCATTTATTTCATCAGCTATGCATCCCCATTATAGAAGTTTGAATTAATCCAAATTTTCATACTTTGGAGAGATGTCTCTGATATTACCAAAGTCTTATGAAAGTCAAACTATACCAGATCTACTGTTCCTCTCTTAGACACAAGATCTGTCTCACCACATGCTGGAAGGAAATGAAGCTTGTACATAGTAGTGCATGTGACATAATATATTTTTATAATACCATCTATAACATCAGACTAACAGTCATCTGCTTAGGTCTGATAAATTGCAGTCAGGAATTTCACTGAGATACAAAAAATGTGTGAACTGTAGTACAAATATGAAAGATGGCAACTTAACTTTTCTTTGCTACAACATATCTTTCTTAGGAAAATTCAAAATAATGTGAACCATGGGAGACAACAGATACCCATTTCACTGGAGCTATGAAATGGTTTGTATGTTGCTCTGACATAGTTCCCCCCCCCCCCCAAAAAAAACAAAAAAAAACAAAAAGAAAGAATGGGCTTTGTTTCAGACCAGAAGTACCCCAGAAAAGTACAAGAGATAACTGATTAACTAGATGGATTAACTTCAGCTTGCTGTGGCTACTTTGAA